TGATGATGCATTGTCATGATGCAACATCAAAGTTTTTACAGTTTTTTTGTTTGTCATTACCTTCCAATTTGAAAATACATCTGGCAAAATGATATTACTATAGTATTTAGCATTAACTGATTGTCCTTTTGGTACCACAATTCTAGTCACAATCCCTTCTGTTGAGAAAAAAATGCAGAACATTCGTTTTTTGCTGTTTTGTGCTGTCCTTGTGATTTGTGTTCTGCTTTCACCTTTACTTATCCAAACTTTATTAGCCTCTTTGCTTGAAACTGTAAAGTAGTGAAACCAAGATTCATCACCAGTGACTATGTTATTAAAACCCTTCTCCAAAATTTCTAAAAGCTGTTCAGAAAGTTCAACTCTTTTTTCCTTATTTTCTTCAGTTAAGACATGTGGGACCCATTTTGCACATACTTTTGAAACTTCCAATTCATTATGCAAAATATAATGAATTCTCTCAGTAGAAATACCCATTAATTCCTCTAATGTTTTAATTGATATATGTGGGTCTTCAACAATAAGTTCTTCAATTTCTGCAACATTTTTTGGGGTGACAATTTCTTTTGGGCATCCAGAACGTGAATCATCTTTAATGTTTTCATCACCACTTTCAAATGATTCAATCCAGCGATAAATACTACGAATACTTAGTGCTTTAGGTCCTTCAGCAACCTGCAATTCCATATGAATTTGATTTGCACTCTTACCATTTTTCCAGCTTACAAAAATGTAGTAATGTTGATGTTCATGATTAAAATTTTCCATTTGTTTTTTTAGCAAATTTTTAAACGTCAATAGCTTTATAATTAATGAACAAAATTTAATAAATTTTTTTTATTTAATAGACAAAAACGACTATTTTCATTTAAAAAAATCTGTACAAAGTTACACATAAGATTGTCATTTTACAGGGCCAGTGACAAAACTTTTCAAATGCCCCACGTATACAGGTTCGGGTTGGGTAATCATTCAATTATGATAACCCGTGCAGGCCTCTAGCTGCAGCTGTGAATAACTTTCTTGAAAATTATGCTGAGGTCCATGGTCTCGAAATAAATGTCAATCAATTAACCCAATTGTCCAGCTATAAACCTGTCCATTGAGAGTTCCTTGGTGGCCTAGAAAGTAGAATGTTTAAATCATTAAAGTACAATGTCTTTTGTAAATTATGACATAAATTAACTCCTCAGATCCAAATTATGAGCCCAAGAACAGATTTATATGATACTTGTCAATACCTTTGCAATGGCTTATAATATAAAGTTCACTAAAAAATACAAAAAGCATCTGGTCAAAGCCAAGTTAGAGTGAAATCATTACAACAAAAACATTAAATTGTAAAGAAAAGCTGTTGATCAAAATTATTCAACAAGATACAGCATTGCAGTGTTGATGCTATTGCTATGACTGAGCCAGAAATGTCCATGTACCACATTCTGATCAATGGATAAGTAAAATTTATTATCTTAGTCCTTATGAAGTCCATCTATTTAGCATTCAAAATGAAGCAGCACAATAGCAGATCAACTATGTTCTTGATGAAAATGAACTGGTAGGAAAGGTTCTAATGACATTTAATATATATTAACTTTAATGGAATTAAAAAATAAAGGCAAGAAGTATCTGAAGATTACCATAATGCTGGTAGACAAAATAAAAATAAATATACAGTAACTATCTGGTTTTATTTATTTCTAGTAACTTGTGGTTATTATGAAAGTATTAAACTAAATTTTATGATTCATGAATGTACAAAATTCAAATGTGATGGTAGTTTTGGCCTGATTAAAAACTATATTGAAAAACAACCATGGGTTGATTTTAAAGTTTGGAAAGTTGTTAATGATCCAAGGATTCCCCAGGTATTAAAGCCTTACCATTTTCCCATATTGACATAGAATACCTTTATAGTAATATTCACACATTTGTCAGAAGGATATTACTTCTCCAAAAGCAGTACAGAGTGCCAATGGCTAACTTAAGATGGGACTGTGTATCCTAATTTATTATTTATTTTGTTTTTTGTAGGCTCTTCACAGGTTTGTATTAATATATGTTCTTTTATTAGTTATAATTTTTGTTATTCCTGGTAAATCTCTTAAATAAATTTTTCTTATCTGAAATATCATTTATTTTAAAAACACAAGGAGCAATTTGTTCCTTTTTCACTTCATTAGCATTTCTTTAATGTCACAATTCTATTTTTTGCCACAAGTAGTTATAAATTTATCCAAGTAGCTTTGTATATAGTAGCAAGTTAACCTTTGCCTGCTTTTTAAATCATCATAGGTAATCAATCCCTCCATTAAAGATATTTGATTGTCATACCTGATTGCTTTAAGCTGTTCACCTTTAATCAAACCATTTGTCATAGCTTTAGGTCATACTATTAAATTCCCATAATATTTTGAAAAAAATTTTCGTTATATTAAAATTCAAATAACGTGATCCAACGAAATGGGTATTAGGTTATTTTTTTTGTCATGTAAAAAAATCATAGAATCACATATATTTTACAAATGGCATATAAAACATATTAATATATACAAACACAAATCTACAACTACGAAATAGACCACAATTTAATACATACCGGTCAGTGCACAAAATTCTTTGAAATTAATAAAAATTGCCGGAAAAAACCAGCAAATTAAATTAGTATTGTGCACTGACATTAGAGGTGTTCTGATCCTGTTTCCTGTTCATTGTTACACATAACCTCAACAACGGTAACAACAAAGTGTTCACCCAGTTCAAAAGTAGCTTCTACTAATAATGACAATGGCAAGTATTTACCCAGTTTAAAGGACAGCTTCTTCTACTAATAATGACAAACAACAACAACGGCAAAGTATTTACCCAGTTCAAAGGGCAATTCGTCTTCATCTGAACCAGTCACTTCTTGAAATATAGAAACAATGCCTCTAATTCTTTCACGAGTTGACATTTTAATTTTAATAATAATAATTATGCATAAATTAAAATGATCCCTCCCATTCATTACCTAATAAGCCGAATTTGAGGCATGCGAACAAAGAGAATTTATAATAAATAAAAGAATTTTTAATTTTAAAAGCTTTTTTGTCAATTTATAATTACAACATAAAATTTAAAAAAAAAAAGAAGTCAAGAGATTTTAAAAAATCTATTTACAATTAGTTTCGGTATATGTTTGATCAAAACATACAACAAATATTATCCTAATCCAAATGTTTTTAAAATAAATAAAAATTACAGTAGAATTTTTTTGTTTTATAAAAAATGATGGATGGGGGTTAATTAAACCGCAAAAAAAATCTATAATGTTTTTTTAATTCCTCAACTTGATCATCATCAATCAAAATTATCCACGACCTAATTCTTTTCTGATTCAGCAGCAATAAGTTTGTGATATAAAACAATCAATTTATCTGCATCAACTTCACGTGGCCAAAAATAAGTAACAAATCTCCATAGATTATGTTTGCACTCTTCTCGTTCCCCGACAGACCTTTCAAAAAGGATTCCTTCAATTCTAGATCCGATTTTTTTCATGTGCTCTTTAATCAATCTGGCCTTTTCTTTTCCCTCATATTTTATTGATTCCTATATTTTATAAAAATAAATATTTTCCGAGTTTGTAAAATAAATAAATAAATCTTTTCCTCCACAAAAGGCTTTTTTTTTTTTTGAATAATTACTTTTTTTAGCCATTGGAGACTATCTTTAACTGGACGCAACAGTTCTTTGCATATACGGTTTATTGACTCTTCATTGGGTTCATCCTCAGTCGAAGACTTGGTTACTACCTTTTTACCTTTAATGTCATTTTGAGTCTTAAATTTACGAGTCTGATGTAGTTTTTAACAAATCAAACGTTAACAACTTTTTTTTTGTTGAAAAAATTTAAATTTGTAAATAAAACTTAATAATTACCCTCTCCTCATGTCCATTATCGTCAACCCATTCTCTAATCACCTTCAGTAAATATTCCGCTCTGCGAACTACCTTTGCTATATTGGAGGTTCGTAGAGAAGCATCATCCTCATCAACGGATAGCTTTTCTCTAAGGCCTAAATCTGAATCTTCACGAACAGCACGCCAGTTTCCAAATCCATGTTTATATATTCCTGAGATAAGTAAGGAATCTTCCTCTTGACCCCATTCTGTGAACCAATTATTTACAGGTTTTAGGGAAAATTTGATTGTAAAGCGTGCTGGGTCATTTATTCCTAATAAATTAAATAATAATAATAATTAGAAGGTTTTATTTAAATAAAAACTTGATTTATTTTATTAGTAGTACCTTTAAGAGTGTTAACTGCTCGAAGGTCTATAATTCTTTGTATAAATGAACCAGCGTTAATTTTCTCTATTCCTCGATAAGTAGTCATAATCGCTTTGCCACGAGAACTTGAATGTGAGTCGTTTAATTCTTCGTGAGAATTTATTGCAGATTCACAATTAGCATAAAGTTCGTCATACGTCTTTATCAAAATCTCACTATCCTTCCCTGTCAATTCAGCATCTGTGACTATGTCATCATAACGTTGATGTATATCACCAAATTTCATTATTGCTCTAATAAGTGCTCTGATTTCTTTTTGACTTAATTCCTTTCTTGAGCTGGATGTGCCACGCCTAATAGAAGGTTGGTCACTGTCAGATTCATCGGCATCGGATAAATGTCTTTTTTTTGCACCATTCACACCTAAAAAAAAAGTGATCATAATTTCGGTCAGTTAAACTATGTAGCTTTTTTTAAAAAAATTACTATTGCAATTCCAATTTTTCTTTTTATATATTTAAGTAGTGCGTCATCCATTACCTTTTTTATTGTTAGTCTTTTTAGATTTTTTGGGGTGGTTTTGGTAATCATAGTCAGATTCTGAATCAAGATAATTATCAGAAGCCAAACTTGAATCTGAATCAGAATCTGAATCCAAATCATCAGCCCTTTGGTGATGTTTAGTCTTTTGCTTCTTTGAATGAGAAGAATCATCTCGAGCCAATCCATTGTTATTCTTATGAGCGGATCTTTTCTTGTGGCTACTTCCTTTCTTTTTGTGGCTAGAACTTGATCTTTTCTTTGAATTTTTATAATCAGATTCAGATTCTACATTATTATCGTTGTTAATGTTGTTGTTATTATTTTGTAGAAGTGCAGCCTTTCGTTTCATTCCTGATTTATATTCTTCTTCTTCAACCGACTCTTGAGTTAAGGAAAGTTTGTCTCTCTCTTCTTTTGGAATTATCTCATCCCAGCTCAAATTATCACCACCAAAATCCGCAACTTGAAACTGCTTAAGGAACTCTTCGCCACCAAAACTGCTACTACCTTGGTCACCAATAGTGTCGTGAGTTTCAGCGCGTGCAAGTATATCATCAAGATCTATATCATCAAGCTTTTTAGAATTGTCTCCCTCTTTGAACATATTTTGTGCACCAAATTTTAAAATTGCAGATAATTCTTCACGACTAAAATTGTCAGATGTCTTGGTGGTTTTGGCATTTTTCTGCAAAATGCTTTTACCAGACGTATCCATTTGTTTTATAATACAATACTCCAAAACCATCTTACGTTTTGCACGTTCAAGAATACTTTCTTCTATAGTATCTTTAGTTACAAATCGATAAACATTTACATGATTTTTTTGACCAATCCGATGTGCTCTTGCCATTGCTTGAAGATCATTTTGTGGATTCCAATCCGAGTCGAATATTATTACTGTGTCGGCTGTATTGAGGTTAATACCTAATCCTCCAGCTCTGGTTGATAAAAGAAAAACAAAATCCACTGAATTCGGTGCATTAAAATTTTCAATTGCTTTTTTACGAGCTTCCGAAGGAACACTGCCATCTAAACGCTGATGTTGATATCCTCGTAACCTCAAATAATCAGTCAAAATGTCTAACATACGAACCATTTGAGAAAATATAAGAACACGATGGCTGGATTCCTTTAATCTGGTGAGCAACTTGTCTAATAATACCATTTTCCCACTATTCATGATTAAACCTCTTAGTTGATCTTCTCTAGTGATGGTTGGAGGTTCAGCATTAGGAAATAAGAATGGATGATTGCTGGCTTTTTTCAATTCAACGGCAATGTTCAATAAACTCATTTGTGAGGAACCAGTAACACCTTCATTAAGTACATCAAAATTTTTGGTAAGAATATTTTTATAATAATGCATTTGTAATGGTGAAAGCCCAACTCTAAGTATTCTCTCGGTCTTTTGTGGAAGGGATTTTTCTACATCTTTCTTTAGACGCCTAAGCATATGGGGCTCAAGACTTTTATGAAGTTCACGAATTTTTGCTTCTTGTTCCTCGTCGGGTGCATCAATGTCAATATCGGAGGTGATCAAAAAATTAGGCATGAGAAAATTAACCAGTGCACATAGTTCTTTAACAGAATTTTGCAATGGTGTGCCTGTTATTAAAAGTCGATTGGCAGTATTAAAAGTAGATAAAACCTCATGGAGTTGTGATTCGCTGTTTTTCAATCGATGTGCTTCATCAACTGCCAAATATTGCCACTTAATATTTCCTAATTCTTGACGATCTTTAAGAATGAATTCATAGGTCGTTACCAAGGCATTGAATTTTAATCTTCTTGATGATGACGAAACATAAAATTCATGTTCTCTTATTACTTCACGACTTTGAGAAGGACCAGTATAATAAATAACATTAAGATTTGGTGCCCAAGTTTGAAATTCATTTTGCCAGGAGCCAATTGTTGATAAAGGAACTACTATCAAATAAGGACCATACTGCTCCAAAGAATGATACAGGTAAGATAAAAAGGAGATTGTTTGGACCGTTTTCCCTAAACCCATTTCATCAGCCAAAATACCGTTTTCATTGCGAGTCCATAAATGAGCAAGCCAATTTAGTCCAGTAAGTTGGAAATCCCTTAATTCACCGCCGGTTAAATAAGAAGGTTGTTGCGTCATGGGTTTAAAGAGCGGCCTATTTTTTGTAAAAACTTTGCTTTTATGTGGGATATTTTGGTTATTGTTTCGATGATTGAAGGCATCAATTTCAGATTTAAATTCACTTTGAATAAGGTCGGTTGATTCCCAGGTACAATCTTGATAAGACAAACGTTTGAATTTGCACAAGTATTCAATACCAGAATGAGGGTTATCTTCGGTAGGTGATGTTGCTTTTTTTGATATGATTCTTTCGACCGTCTTGTAATCCTTTAACATGTCTCTAGACATTTCCATCCTTACATTAAGGGTTTCTTTGTCTTCGGGACTCTCATGCAATGAATATTGTTCAGACAAATAATTTTTGATATAATTTTCCAATTTTTTAAAGCCCCTCAAACCACGACAGTTTTCGAAAGTTTCCCAAGTATTATGCATATGGCTCCATCCTTTCCATTTTATTAAAAATTCCATGTTTGTTTTAGGATCATCTGGATCATCAGAATCTATATCATAATTAGATGGAAAAGTTAACAATCAGACAAATAATATTAATTCAGATTACATTTGTTTGTGCTAAATAATTGTATTAGATAACTTACTATTCCCTCCTTCTATTCTTCTGATGTCATGTATGCTCTCAATAACATTCTCTTCTACAGTAAATACGAAATAAAGTAACAAGATTAGTTAATGGGCAATCATTTCTTTATTAACTTGCATCGTGCAATTGATTTTTTTTTTTTTACCTTCTTCTGGTTGTAGATTTTCATAAGATTGAGGATCATCATCTTCATAGTCGGCTTCAAGTTCAAGTTGTTTATCTAACTCATCCTCGTTGTAATTTTTTACAGTTCTATTTCTTCGGGAATATCTATTTTCAATAATATAATCATTTGCATTGATAAAAGTTTTACTTCTTTTAGATGATGTGGCTCTTGAAGAAGAATGCCATTCTTGATCATCTGAAGATTCAAACTGTGAAGAAGCATCTTTGCTGGTATGTGACGATGAACTGTCATTTGAATTAGAACCGCCCCAACCATCTATTATAATGAAAAGAAATTTTAGGAAGATATTGATCGAATTAACGAAATTTTAATTAAAATTAAGCAGAGTTATTTGATTGTTTGATTTGCTGTTGTTATTTTAAGCGATACCTTGCAATTCATTTACTCTTGATTTTTTAGTTTTGGATTTTTTAACAGAGGATGTTGCTTTTTTCCTTTTACGAGTAATATTATCATAATCTTCTTCATCAGATGAAGAAGACGACATCTAATGGAAGAAGAATTGAATTAAGAATAAATAATGAAAGTTTAGCATATAAATTAAACAATTAATAAAGACGAAATCATTAGAGTATTTTGAAGTAGTTGTCGTACCTTATAATTTACATTATGTTTTTTGGTCGCTGTGCGGCTTGATCTTCTAAGGCCATAGAGTTCAGGGTCCATATCCATAAACTCGGAACCTTTTAATAAATAAAAATGAATGTATAACAAAATATATAAGTATATATAACACATTCATTCTGTATTAATGAATAATTGATTAGTTATCAATTATCAAAGGATAAAAAAGAAGGAAGAGAACCATTTTTGGACAGTTAGAGTTTTCGGGAGAAGGGCAAAAGGAATGTGAATAACGTGTAAAATTAAGGTTATAAGTAAAATATGAATAAAGGAAAGGAACAGAATAAAAAAAACACGAAATAAACATAAATCTATAAAACTACGATTTGATTCTCTCAAGTTTGTGAAAAGATGATCACTGCATATAACGTAAGAAGGTTGTGAAATAATGGGAATAGAAGAAATACTACAAATAATGGTAAATAACGGAAATAATAAGAGTCAAACTAATAAAGGACTGAACCTTTCATAAAAAAAGGGGGATTTAATTTCATGTTTTTTCGGTAGATTTAAAAAAGTGAAAAGATGAATCGAATGGGACAAAAGATGAAAGTTTGAATATAAGTGATAATATTCAATATAAATAAAATTTGAATAATAATAATAATAATAAGGAATACTATAACAAGCATAAAATGAAAGAATTCATAAATGACTTGATAACATTAACATTCTTTTATGACTTGAAATGGTTTTCTTAATTCAAAATATTTGATTGAGAAAGTTCAAACTTTCATAAATTTTTTTTTGAAGCGATATGTAACCAATAAATAGAAATGGATGTATTATTATAAATATTTTAGTGACTTACCTGTCATCTTTGGATAGGCTCAAATAAAGAAACAAAATACTTGGATAATATTATTTATTGAAAGTAATAATATTAATTAGGTATATAAGTTTATATAACGAAAAAATGAGGTTTTTTTTTTATAAAAAAGATTGTTCTTGGAAGTTTTGTGGAACGTTTGGTTCTAACCGAACATATTTAATGAAAAAAATATAATTACTTGTAACACAATTTCTTGTTATTTTTGAATAATTTAGCTTAGTTTCCCCTGATCCAATTTAATAAAATAACCAGCAAAAATAAAAGCTAACATATATCAACTGTTTATTATCAATTAGACTCTTGGGATAATTATTATTAATAATAAAATAATCAATTACAAGATTTTTACATTTTCATGATCTTAATCCGGCATTTTATCTAGTATACAATTTGACAAGAATCTAATAAAAATTTATAATGAATAATTAATCTTAATCCCAATTTTAATAGTGATATTAATTAATAAATTAATCAAAAAATTAAACGTGTTAATAGTTACCATTATAGTTACTAATGGTTGTGTCTTTGTTTGAATCAACAGGTCGAGGAATTTTAATACAGTTATAGTAATTATTGAAGGATCAATTTCTATTTTATCCATTTCATCTGATTGCTTTTAGAATATTGGTGAATTTTCATATGGAATAATGTCATTCTTAATTCATCAGCAAACAAATCACGTAAAAAATTAAATCAATTTTTAGCGGTTGGGCGTTTGTTTATCAACATCTATATATATGTATGCTAATTCTATATAAAATTTGAAGTATTGTTTGAAAAACCAGATTTTAATCCTTTTCATTGAAAGACCAGTGTCACCTGAATGATGTAGACCAGTTGATATTACTGTTATCGATATTCTGATATTGTAAATGTCGGATGTCATTATATATTGTTGACTTCTAGAGCAACGTATGGCAGTGCAACATGCACACTTTTAGTTTGATCTACTGGGCATGATAATCCTAGATTTGCAAGATTTGAATATTCAATTGTATGAGAGTTTTTTCTTGATTATTGCCACAATGAAGATCATGATAATGGAATTTTTGTTCATGGATCTTTCTAATCATCAGTAATACGTAAAAAATTATAATTTCATTATACCATTTCAAATTTTTTTAAATTAATTGTTAAGTAGTCATAGAGACTTCCTTCAATAACATGAAATCCATTACAAATATATGTTCTCCTGTAATTGGATCTTGTGTTAATCTATAAATTTCAATTATAGGATAATGTTGATAAAGTTTTTGAAATAAGAATAAAATAAAAATAATAATATATTTATTTTGCCAATAATAATTCTAAAATAATATATTTATTTTACCAGTAATAATTCTAAAATAATAATAATAATAACAAATTTTATATACCTCATTAAGAAATTCATCAGAAATATTATTTTGTGACTTGTGCAAATTTTTTTAATTCTACAATATTATCACTAATGATCCCTTTATTGGATGCCAAGTCTATACATTACTATTAATCCAAATAGCTATGTATACAGTCGCGAATACACCTTTGATATCTATTAAGCCATCATATGAAATCCGTTCAAGACAATCAGTATTATTGCAGAATGTTACTTTTGGTTGTACACTTTTAATCAGCTCATCTATTATGTCATGGCAACTATTCCATCCTCAAGTATGTATCGCATGACTGACACCCTTCCCTCATTAGCATATTACATATATTACATATACCGTTTCCTTCATCTCATATATTTGAATTATTAACCATCGTCATTAGAAATAATAACAGTATTAAGATGACCATCTTTGCTTGAAGTCTTGTGTGATCTTATCCATTTTTTTATTTAAATTTTTATTTAAATTCAAAACATAGTTATATATAGGATATACTGTAACAAAACCAAACAAAATGAACATATTAAGGGAGATTTCAGGGGTGGAATGGCTGGTTAATTAGGGTCGGCATTGGACAATGTCCGACAGCTTGTTATATTATTATTATTATTGTATATATATATATAATAAATAAATAACAATTGTTATATATAATAATAATAATAATAAAATGAAAAACTTAGAAGAAATTACGTGTAACATCTCATTTTCTATCTAATTAAAATTTTTTTACAAAAAAAAAAATCTTTATTTTGTAATTTTTAAAACCTTAAGGGAAAGAAACTAATATGTTTCGGTTCAATTCTCTTAAAGTTCCGATATCTAAAAAATTTTTATTGTATCCATTACTTTCTAACTCGACATTTAATGTATCCACGACAATTAATTCCATCACCAATACTACTACTAAATTTTCCAATAATAACAACTCTTATAAATTTTTCAGCAGCACCACCTCAGCATTATCAAACAATGTAAAAAACATTACAGTTTATGGTTCTGGTCTTATGGGAGCAGGGATTGTACAAATATCGGCACAGAATGGATTCAAAGTGACGATGGTTGATTTGACAGAGGAAGCATTAGAGAAAGGAAAAGATATTATCAACGCATCACTTATACGAATAGCCAAGAAAAAATTTGAAAACGATGAACCGAAACAAAAAGAGTTGATTGAATCGACTTTTCAAAATATCAAGACTACCACCAACTCAACTGACGCTGATGCAATCAATGCTGATTTGATAGTTGAAGCAATCGTGGAAAATATTGAAACGAAGCGATCTTTATTTAAGTTGTTGGATAAGTTAGCTCCCAAGTCGACTATATTTGCTTCAAACACTTCAAGCTTATCGGTATATGAGATAGCAAAAGTTACAAATCGACTTGATAGATTTGCTGGATTACATTTCTTTAATCCAGTACCACAAATGAAATTAGTTGAAATTGTTGTTACAGATCAGCTTGATAAAAATGTTTATGAAACTCTGGTGGACGCTACAAAAAGAATGAAGAAGGTTTCTGTTACTTGTAAAGATACGCCTGGGTAATTACATTATATTATATTTTTCTAATATTTTAGTTTTATATTTAGTAAAGGAAAAATTATTGAATTTCTTTTTTTGAAAAATAAAAAAGATTTATTGTCAATCGACTTCTTGTCCCTTATTTAATGGAAGCTATACGACTTGTTGAACGTGGTGTTTCAACAATACAAGATGTTGATTCTGCAATGAAATTGGGAGCTGGAATGCCCATGGGGCCTTTTGAGTTAGCTGATGTAAGTATTAAGAAACATATATAATTTAAAAAAAGCAATGTTAATTCATGCGTTATTATATATAATTTGGTTTTTTTAATAGTTTGTTGGGTTGGACACACTTAAATTTATTGTGGACGGATGGCGTCGTGATGGTAAGGTTGATTCCAATCTTGTTGCTCCAATTAAATTATTGGACGAACTTGTTGAGAAAGGACATCTTGGACGTAAATCTGGAAAAGGTTTCTATTCTTATTGATTGAAGTGTATAAAAAATTATAATGTTTATAATATTTACCTATGTGCCCGTCATATATAAAGAAAAAAAAATTTAAAGAATCATAGTAGAATGCATAATATGATAGTTTTTTTTTTGCATTTTTATGTTGAGTGCGTTCAGAACCATCTTTTTTGGATTAGATTTAAACAACAGTCAGTATTAGATTAATATATTTATTCAGTAATAAAATAAAATAAAATTTATCTACATTGGAAATTATTCCCCACAAAAATGGAAAGATTTTAAATAAATACTGTTCTGGGAGGAGTGTTTATAATTTATTTTTGAGATATAGAAAATATATATACATTTTTATTTATTTATTGACAGATCAATATTTAACAAATAAATATTTTTATGAAATTCATGATTTATTAAATGTTCTATTATGCGTATATATATATATATGTATGTATGATATGTCTATATATTATATTATAGTTGATGTAAAATTACTTGTACATAAAAAAATAAAGTATTAATTAATTTTGTAAATGATAAGAAATAGAAAATGAATGAATAATTTATTTTTTGGGGCCGATTTATTTGATTTTGACCCACGAAACAACAAAGTTATTAATTTCAACGGTGGTTTGGATTGGAAAAAAAATTATTCTTCTTTTCACAACAAAAATTCTAATTTCATCACAAAAAAAATTAAGAAAAAAAAAGGAATGAAAAATTAGTAATACATTAATATTATCTTACGATTAATATCTATTTTTGTAATAAATAATGTAAGAGAGTTTTTAATGATATTGTTAATTGTGGAGAGAGGGAGAGGAGGAAGGCTGAGGGAGAGGGAGGGAGAGGGAGATAAAGAGGCAAAGAAACGACGAACAAATGAATGAATCTTGAAAATCTATTTCTTATCATTTTCAACCAAACCATATAATTCTTTTGTAAATTTTGCAATTTCAAAAGCAACACCGGCCAAACGTTGTTTGGAACCTTTATCAGAAACAATCTCGTTATCTTTTTCTATCAATGTTTTCATTTCTTCCATTTTATCAATGCATCTTTCCAAATCTTTTAGTAATACACTACCACGCTTACGATATGGAGTGCCAGTATTTTCTTCAAATGAGTCATTACAAACTGCAATCACATTCAACAATATTGTTATTACTGTGTTGATTTTCTCTATAATCTCACCGCCATACGAGCCATTGCGAATGCTGGCTAAAAGGGTTTGAATTGCTTGTACAATTGCTTCAGTTTGACGCTCAAGGAAATCCTTTAAATCTTCGGTATCAATCCCTCTACTACGTCCATTAACAATGCTATTTATTTTTTTATCTTTACCAGTATCTAATACATAAATAATACATTATTATTATCCACACAATATTAATTAATTTTATGCATAAATATACTTTTTTTTTTTGAAAACAAAGTTAACTCTTACTTTGATCTTGATGATTTTGATGAATTCCATCGTTTAGCGATTGTTTTAATTTTAAATGCTTCGCCACTTCAACGACAGCTACAGTTAAATGACTTGCAGCTGCGTCTAATAAGCTAACCGGTGAAAGACCAGCCCCGGTTGCATGATTTTTAGCCGCTGCCATTAAATTGGTAAGTGTAGCCGATAATTTCGTTTTAAGTTGGGTCAATTTTTCTTGATTTTCAGCTTTTATTGATGAACCTTTATGTTTTTCATATAATTCGACTTCTTCTGTTATATCCTTACATGATATAACAATTGATTTCATTGCTAATAGTACGTTTGCAGGATCCTCGGATCTATTAAAAAAATTTTAATAATTATTCTTACTGTATGCATTATAATATACAGTCAAATCTCGATAAGCCGAACTTTTGGGAATAACAAAAATGGGATCGGCTTATCAAAATTCGATTTATGATGATCTACAATTATGTTTTTGGTTAACCACTTTTGAATCGTTATAAAGCGAAAATCAGTTTATGTGGTTCGGCTTATCGAGGTTTGACTGTAAGATGTAAAAATTTATATAATTATTTTAACTTTTGAATTTTTTCATACCTTCCAGCTCTTAATAAATTATCAATTGCTGCTTGATATGATGCGATCTTGGACTCATCAATTACGCCATCAGGTGTTGGTTTGATTCCATGATCATTTACAACATCTACTTTTGGTGCTTCTTTATAAAATGATGATGTTGCTATTTGAATAAAATTATTGTTAGTCAATTATTATTTTCATAATGCTGCCTTCTTTATTATTAAGATACACACACACACATATATAAACCTACCTTTTAAATTTCTTAATTCTGTTTTAATTTTTTCATATTTACTTTTCCATTCATTCGCCTCTGATTTTAATGAATTGGCATTAGAAACATTTTGTTCTATTTCTAAGGTTAATTCATCATTTTTTTTTGATAAATTTTGTATCTCTTCTAGTAATAATCTAAAATAATGTGTAAGGAGTTAAAGAAAGAAAGAAAGAAGCCCTAACAGCTTAAGAAAAAAGATTTATATTAATTTCATTCTAGAAAGACTCTGGAAATATTCCATAGGTTTTTAAAGCACGGATCATCAATATTTTATTTAACTGTTTATTTTATTAAAATAAAAATGTGATATGATGTTTGACTGACAGTAACCATTACGTGTGAAGTGATATCCACCCGATTATTTGACCTCGCCAAATTGTATG